CGGCTAAGCTAATGCGCGATCAGCTCGCCAGCCTTGAGAGGGCTAATGAGGCAGCAACAAAGCGTAGGCAGCGTAAGAAAAAGCGGATACAGAAGCGAGGAGTACTTACAAAGGGAGCTGGAGAGGATCTACTCGCTCAGCGCGAGGCTGATCAGCAGATTGCTCATGAAGAGCGTCAGAGAGGAGAGCGATCAGGTGTTAGCCGCCAGGCTTTGGCGCGCTGTAGTAGGTGCAGAGAGACTGGCCATAACTCGCGTACGTGCAAGAAAGATACTCTAGGTACTGCTTAATCTATTATGTTAATATGTAGTAAAACAACTATATTGTGGTGGAACTACAGGCTTATAGAGGTGCGCAGGTTTGGTGGGGTGCGGCGCTCGCTTGCCTGCGGCGCTCGCTTGCCACATACGTTAAGCATATTACGGACGTTTGCACAACGTGCCGCTTATCCCGAATCCTTCCGCACCCGTACTGTTCAACTCAGACCTTCATCTTGTCCGTCTCTTGACAATCTACACTCGCCATCATGGACTGGTAAGTAGGAAAATGTGGCATCTCTGATGGCCATCCTAAGGAGCTATAGGTGGTGTGACCGTTGCGACAGAACATATCGTACCTTCAGTGCCCTCAGACAGCACATCAAAGACTCTCAAAACCATTATGAATGCCCTGGATGCGACTTTGACGGTGAGAGCTGGGACGACCTGCTCCAACACTGCCGTGATGAAGGATGTCGTACTGTCTGCCAAGGCTGTAACCACGGCGGAGGGTCTCATTGGGATAGGGATTGCGAAGAATACTGGCATCATTTAAGCGACTTCAATGTATGCCAGAGGTGCGAAAGGCACTTCACCTCGCCTGATCATCTCCATAACGTACGTTTTCTTGCATGAGTTGGTGTGTTTGGTAACTGAGGCGAAGCAGCACATGCTTTCCCATCGCGTTCCTATGTATGAATGCTACCTGTGCACGGATGTTTTCAAGACCTATGGCGGCATGGTATGTGTTCCACCTCGTACCTGTGTACTGTCCACTCATTCAGCCAGATCATCCATCTCGAATACGGCACCTGCAGCAACGTGGATCGTATTGAACTCAATATGCTCGCCGCCAGGTGTATGCGGTGGCGTCACTTTATCGATGAAGACTATCGCAATGAGCTTCTTGCTTATGGCGACACGCAATACGACGTAGATCCCTTCATGTGTCCGACCTGTGATGCCACGTTTTCCAAGCTATCGGGCTTGTTCCAGCACGTCGAGTCTTCAGCATGTGAGCAAAATTTGCATGACAGAGTCATTGGGAAGTTGCGCAACTTTTTAGCAAGCCGACTGAACTGAACTGTTGAGCCAGAAAGGCGTCAGCAGAACACGAGCAGCTTCTTGCAGTGTGTAGTCATGGCGAATTGTAAACTAATAGGAGTTAGACACTTGACACACACGTTACTTTCTCAGGCTCCACATCACAATTGTCAAAAGAAAAAAACTTCACGAGATGATCACCTCCGGAACAAGCCAAGGATGGGATACGACGTCAAGTCATAGTATTCGAGAACCTCAGCTACGCAATCATCATTGCTGTGCTTCCTGAAGCAGCTGCAGAAGCGTCCATAATATCCCATTCCTTCCCTTTCGTTGCTTTGTCTCCATGTACATTCCCTATCCCCATTGAAAACCGAGATTCCCAAGAAGAAGCCAGTCCGTACACAATTGAACGGACGCACGGAAGAAGAGATGCCATGATCATCCTACCCGACATATCCAGAGTCTATACGTGTCAGTGTTGGAAAATTCATCATCCGAGAGAGGCAGCCAAACCAGCGAGTACCCAGTCATGGTATTCCATCCCTTTGTCCGTCATGATATCCCTCCATTTGTCCTTGACCCTCCGTCCAACGCAGCCACACACCCCACACTTGTCCGTTCAGAAAAGAGGACAAGCGTCCCAATAAAACAGCCAAAAAAAGAAAAAAGCACGACGCCATATGCGTACCTGATGGGGAACGAGAGAGACCCTTGGGCAGTCCTCAAGTGCGATTCTCAGCGCAAAGCTCAAACGCAATGCCCTGCTCGACGTTACAAGCACCGACAGGCGCACCAGGCAAATAGCCAAACTCCGGGATCGTGTAAGCCTGCTGCGCGCACTCGACGCCGGCTTCACACTGGAACACAGGACAGTCACTACCCGCAACGGCCTGGATCCCCTTCTCGTGGCCAACGCACTTGTCGAAAGTCTTTGCGCCGCCATCCTCCTGCACCATGCAATCGAGATAAGAAATGTCGTACGATACGGTCTTCTTGTCGTCCCAGACGGTGTACTCGAACTGCATGGGGTGTTCGAGCGCAGCGGTGCGCGCCACCTTGAGCGACACGCCCGACTTGTAGCAGATGCGGATGCGCTCCGTGTACGTGGTGTTTGCGGGGATGCGCTGGGCAAGCGTGCTGGGGCCGCAGCTCTCATCGCCGATGGACGATACGAAGACGTCGTAGTCGCACGAGTTGACGATGAGCGCGTGGTTGGGCGACAGCGGAAGTGCAGTGTAAGAGGTGTCACCGGGCGGCTTTAGGGTAGCTGCTGAAGACGACGTCGGAAGCGCCATGGTGACGGACGCACTGCTCTCGGAGATGTTGACGCTCGTGGAGGCTGCAGTGCTGGATGGAGAGTCCTGCGTCACGGTCGTGTAGACGGTCTTGGTCACGACAACGACTTCGGTCGCGATGACGCGCCGGTGCAGTTCGCCATGGACATGCGGGTGCACTGCGCCTAGGTGCAGGCTCGCGGTGAGGAGCGGCAGCGCCGTCAAGGTAGCAAGCGTAGCACGCATCCTGTCTTGTTGTCGGAGTGATTCAGTTGTTCTCGAAGCACGACCCGAGTACCGAAGTCTTGTTGTCAGTGACGGAAGAAAAAAAAAGAGAGAGAGAGAGAGAGAGTATTGGAAGGGGCAAGTGTCTTTTGTTATCGCTGTCGTTGTCGTTGTAGTATTGGTGTTGTCGTAGTTGTAATCCGCCCGACTCGACCTCTTATTTGTACGTCCGCCCAAAACTACAAGTGAATGTGAACTTGCAACGCCGCCACCGCCGCCGCTGGGGCCCCTCACTACTCCCCGCGTTTGCTCCTGTTTTGGCGTCACCACGGGGGGAACTGATTTGGCCAATGAGAAGATTGCTAATACCCACATGTGTGTGTGTGTGTGGTGAGTGTGAGCGGTGATGATGTGATGAGAACTTCACAGACGCGGTGAAAGGCGACAGCGTGTGACCCGCCTTAATGAAGTCTAGAGGCCGATACCGGCGACTTTTGTACTGCATGTGGGGGGGGGGAGGGTACGAAAGGGGATCTTGGTTTGAGAAGTTGAAGTATGTGATATCGAATTGAATAGTGGAGAATAGTGGAGAATAAAGACAGTGAACACGTAGATATCCAGTACCTACCCCATCCTCCCACTGTGACTGAGCATAACAAAAAAAGAAAAAAAAAGAAAAAAAGAAAACTCTTATATACTTTCTATTGTGTGTGTGAGATCCTCCCTGATGTGTAAGCATGTTAACATCATTGCATAATGTAAAGAGAAAAGAGAAAATAGACCCGAGACTCGACGAGAGTCCACCCATTTATCGTTCTAGAATCCGTGAAGAAGAAGAAGAAGAAGAAGAAGAAGAAGAAGAAATGAAAGAAAATGGATCAAAAGCTACTCGGAGTCTAGTTCAGACTCCCACCCAGAGGATCCAGCGGCACAGACGGTCTGGGGTCTTGTCGAGTCTGCGCGTAGCACGAGTACATTGGGCTGTGACGAGTTATTAGCCTTGTATTTCGAGTCATCGAGGCGAAAAAGGGGGGAGAGAAGAACTTACTCTGCATATCCGGTCCAGCCGACGCACTTCCAGCAGTTGAACAGACCGGTGGGATCATATCGCCTCTTGACAGCGAGCAACCTGTCGTAGTGGGTGCCGAAAAACGCTTCTTTCCAGTTCTCCTCGGTCCAGTCGCCTTCATTCATGTAGCAGCCGCCACCGGGCGTCAGCGCCTTGAACGGGTCGATCATGGCGGACACGGTCTTCTGGATGGGCGACATGGCGGCCGCCGGGGTGGCGGTCGTCCAGAACTGGCCCATGACGACTTCCCAGAGGGAGTCGCGCCAGATGGGGTTGACGCTCGTCTTGCTGTTGGTGTCGGGCGTGTTGTCTGGGCCAGTGGCGTACAGCTGGATTCCGCCGCCGCCGTGGCGCTCGTAGGAGAATTGCATGGCGGTGACGACAGCGTCGACGAGTTGCTCGCGGTTCGAGGACGCGAAAAGGTCGCGTGGAATGAAGCGGCCAGAGCCCTTGAACCCGAGTCCAACGGGCCCGTTGCGCGAGATCTGCGGCCGTTCGCAGAAGTCGTGCCATTGGGAAAAGGTATTAAAGATATGGTAATTGTTTTCCGTAATGGCGATACCAGGCAGGTGTGTAAGGAGGTCGTGCCACTGAGCCGTGACTGTCTTGATCACCTCGGTGTCGTCGGACGGCATGACTTGCAGGAAGACTACGTGGTCAGGTAGGATAAAGTTGTACCCGGCGATTCCATGTTCAGCGAACAGCGGCTGGCTGGCAGCAAGCCCGGAAACAATTTCTCGGTGGATGCGCGACTCGGATATGTTCTTTGGCGCAGGGAAGTGAGCCTGGAAGCTGTATACGTTGAGCGGAACAGCAGGGTGGAGTTGAAATTTGTACGATGTAAGCACTGCATAGCTTCCGCCTCCGCCTCCACGCATGGCCCAGAAGAGGTCTGGATCACTGCACTCGTTGATGGTGAGTTGTTTGCCGTCTGCAGTAACGACGTCGAACTCGACAGCTTGATCAACCATGAGTCCGTACTTGGGTCCCAGCGGTCCGTGACCGCCTCCTTGCCCGTAGCCTCCTGCGATACCGACAGATCCTACCGCACCCACAGTGACCAGCATGCCGTGTGGTTCGAACGCTTCCCATGCCTCCTGTGCCTGTATGCCAGCCCCGATTTCGCCAATGTTCTCATAGCGGGCGCTGCAACCTTGAGGCTGGAAAGTCTTGTGGAACCTGGTATCTTTCATGTTGTGTGTCCAGATGGCAAGAGAGTTGGGGGTAGTCGACCGCCCAAAGTAGTCGTGTCCTGTGTTTTTGATCGAGACGCGAATGCCATGTTTTCGAACGAAATCCAGTGCCTTGCTAATATCGTTTCCAGACTTGGCTTCGACATGGTATGCAGAGAGTCGTCCGAGCGAACAGCTGCCAGAAACGGGTTCTGAAGTGTTGAATGAGTTGAGGGCGCACTGTGATTGCTCGCACTTCTCCCAGTCGAGGAACTCCAAGGAGCCGTACTGCGTCGTTCGCGATACTCCGTCGCGGTAGTTTTGAGCAACATCTTGGCATTGCTCACTGGACGAGTTGAGGTAGCATGGCTCGGCCCAGGGCACAGTCAGTCTAAGATGGCCGTCAATGCTCTGGTTGAAAACGTTCCATTCTTCTGTAGATGGCCAGCAGGACTGTCCCGATAGACAGGTATAGTTAAAGGAGCCTAGGCGCTCAGATGCCGGCATCGATGAGCGTGCGTCCGGGCGGACATCCTGTCTGAAAAAGGTGTACGATCCGTATACAGCCAGTCCAAAAATCAAAGGCAGTGCAATGGCCCTGCGGAGGGCACTTCTTGTACTCGATCTCTTCGTTTTCCTTGTGTAACCCAACTCATCATTGCTGGTCTGCCATTCGTAAACGGGGGCGGCCTTCTCGTTCAAAAGCGATTGCCGCTCCATAGCCGGCATATATGAGCCAACCAGGTGATGTTTGTAGTGGTGGTACTTGAAATAGAATATTATTGTCCTATTATCCGCGTACTTGGTGGATTTCGCAGCAGATGAGGTTTGAACAATGTGTAGATACGAACAAGCACACAGCCGGAGAGATACTTTTTATAAGTAACACGGCGGTGCTACACGGTGGATGTGAACATGCACCAAAGTCCTTCTGCTGCACCTTCAGCTAGGCGGCGGTATGCACCAATTGCGGATACGGCTGACCGCCGGGCTCAGCCTCAGCCGTGGGCAGGCAGCCAATGGCATCTTCGGAATATGCGAAAAACCACGGCTCACGGCGGAGGATTATCAGCACTTGCGGCTCACATCAGGCAGACACCCATAGACGCGCAAGGCTGATAGAGCGCTGATGCGGTCATGATGGTTCGGAGGGCGCGGCGGTGGGGAGTGTGTGGAGATAGATGCGCCGTTTGGCCCCCACACGTTACCGCGATAGGTTCATGGCGCTTACAGGTTCATCTTGTCGACTCGGCTGTGTCCGACCCCTGGTATAGTTTACAGGTGGATGATGTAGCCATCGATAGGGCTAAGAGGAGAGAGGGACATTAGGCTGTGGGTGTTGACGAAGGGCGGCCTCTTCGATCAAGCGAGTGACGTATGTAGAGAAGAAGAAAGGTTGCCTTGTCGGTGTTTTTGATGTTTGGAAAAAGCCATCTGGAGTTGAATGTGTGGTGTAGGGTGTGTGGGTGTTGAGCCAGCAACAGCCGCCGCGGGAAATCGAGTGCTGCTAGGCTCATTAGTATCGGGTGACTCCGAACGGGAGACGCTGGCCCAACACGACACGGCTCACCGGAGTTGGGGGCCACGTAACTATGTTCTCTTTTTGTTGGTTGAACTGCAGGCGAAGAGTGTGGTTCAGGGGATCTTTGACTCGAGATATCCGTACTGCAACTCGTGATGCCATTGGACTCGAGCACCGCCAATCGAGCTTGGCAGATCCAGTAGAGCTGACATGATGGGCACACCACCTCGTTTGTCCACGGCAGATGCTTTTTGTCGCGTCTATGACCGAAATTCCGATTATTTTTGCTTTGCAAGCCAGGTCACGAAGAAAGAACCATGTTCTGACACTAGCAGGGAAATGGAGATGGGTCGATTCAACTTGCATGTGTCACGTGCTTGGGAATGATGAATCACTTCCTTCCATCATGTCGACCATAGCGTGGAAGATGTGGCGAAAATTTCTTTCCGCTAGGACGGTTTTGAAGCAAGTAATGTGCTTGAGCAAAGTTGGTTGTATGAGCATGTTGCCACGGCCCAGGGAGTATGGCGTTGAAGCCTCAGTTGCTATGGTATTTAGTACAGAGTGCGCCCCGGCATGTCTCTGGAGCACAGTACCAAGTCTTACTTGTTGAGCATCGGCAGACCAGCTCAGGGCAAAGACGGTACCGCACAATGCGTAAACGATGGCGTTTGTCAGCCGGGTATAGCGCTGGTAGGTGCTCTTGGTAGTCCAAAGGCTGATGCCGTGTGCCCCACTGCCTGTCGCTCCCCCACATGCCCACTTTCTATGCACGATGTTATGTGTAGCTGCACAGCCACAGCCACTCCAAACAGCCGGGGGGTCGGACCGAATCCCGGGTTCCTACAGCAGCCTTAACTCAGTCACAGTTCCCAAGAACATGTGCATGACTCTTTGAATGGCTGGCTTGAGGTCCCGGTAACGAACGCCTCGCCAATTCCTACGACTCCTGGCTTGTCTGGTACAGGCATCCAGCCAAGCACAAAGACGCCGTGTAGATTGGATGTACTGTAGTCCAACCCTGGAAGTCAATGTAATGTCACATTCCTGTGCTTGTAATTAACAAGCCAGGCCGGATATCCAACAAACTGGTTCCCTCCACATGTCGAGAGATCTGTTATCCTGGGCATACGTACCAAGCTGAAACCGAAAAGTGGAGACGATGCACAACATTTGCAATCTCACAACCAGTTTAAGACGGAGACTGACAGATGTAAGTAGTCACTAGTAGTTTCAACTCAACTGGTACTAGTATTTTTTGCTGGACTCCATGTGGCACATGCACATCTCTGGTCTTATGGACATTTATACACGTCATTGCGGAATGACGACTCTACTGTTGATATCTCTCAAGAACTTCGGCAATCTTCTCCCTAACGCCCTGCTTGCCCTCGTATTTTTCCAGTAGCTTACCAACAACTTCCTCCGTCTTCTTGCCTGCTGCCTCCCTGAGAATCTCGTTTTCTTTTGGCAGCCCGATCCAGGCATGTGGGTAGTCCTTGTAGTCGTTTTGGTTGAGAAGCGAGAGCAGCGGCTCACGGCCGACGGCAAAGAAGGCCTCGACATCCTGATTGTTGACATCGTCAAGCGTGTTGGGCTTCCAGTTGGGCCGCTCCTTCTTTCGCTCCACCAGACGTGCTGTCACACCTTCGACAAAGTCGGGGTGGGCCATGAACTTGGAAGCAATGCTGTATTCCCTTTGAAACGTCTGTGCAATAGACCACTGGCGACCAACGCGCATCTGCTGCAGAGCTACCGCAACGGAGATTGGGGAGCGGCTGTGGATAGTTTGGATAGTCTTGTCTGCCCACGTTTGGATGTCAGCATCTGTGTGCTCCTTCTTGACTTTCTCGAGCGACGCCATAATGTCCTTGATGCTCGGCTGGTCAACGTGGAAAACACTGTCAATCGTCCTGCGCAGTTCCCCAGAGATATGTGGTCGCTCCGCAGGCAGGCCCGTGCTGAACTCCTCAATCGTGGTATTGATGATGCCGAAGCGCTGGCGGGGCGTCATGTAGTCGGGGAACTGGAGCTCGGCGAGACGTGCCTCGAGCTGCTGCAGGGTCGACGAGTGGATGTAGTGGGTTGCGATGCCGTGGTAAAAGGCGTCGACGCCCTTGAGCTGCTCCGAAGTAAGGGCTAGGTATGTGCCCAGGGCGCCCTCCATGCGCGGGAGGAAGAAGGAAGCGCCAACGTCTGGGAAAAAGCCAATGGTCGTTTCGGGCATGGCGAAGATGGTGTTCTCGGTCGCGATGCGGAACGGCGCGTGTATCGACAAGCCAACGCCGCCGCCCATGGTGATGCCATCCATGAAGGCGACATAGGGCTTGGTGTATGTGGCAATCAAGTGGTCGAGCTTGTATTCCAGGCCAAAGTAGTCGGTACTCTTCTGCTGTCCCTTGGGCCCCTGCTTGTTCCACGCGGCCAGCGCTGCGACATCGCCACCAGCGCAAAAGGCGCGGCCGCTGCCCTTGATGACGACGACGCCTGCGAGCTCGGAATTGGCCCACTCCTGCAGGCGGGGGATGATCTTGCGCGCCATGGAGCCATTGAGCGAGTTGAGCTTCTTGGGCCGGTTGAGCTCGATGCTGCGCACGCCGTAGTTGTTTGTGAAGATGACATCGTCGGGGTCGTCGTCCTGCTGCGCCTTCAAGACGTCTGCTGCCGGCGTGGCATACTGCGTAGTGTGAGCACGGCACGGGCGCATGGTGGGCTAGAGGGGTCGCAGCGGTACCGTTCTGGCGCCGCCCATCAAGGCGGGATTGGTGATGTTTGCACGCAATGGCATGGCACTGGCAGTACGGAGCCGCGAGACGCAGCTCAGCGGTGTTCGTGTCAGGGTACGGAGCGACATGGCATGGGTGGTGGTCGAGGTAGTAGAGGAGCGGCGCGATGATAGTTTCCGCTGGGCGAGCCTCGGGTATCCGCACAGCCGACTTCTCCAGGCCGGCAGTGCCTCGGACAGCCAGCTGCTCTGGCAATTGCCTGGAAAGCGAGAAAAAAGCGCGAGGCCCTGGCAATTCTGTCCGGCGGGCCCAAAGTCGAGTCTCCCGTCCCCAAAACGAGCAGAATATCGCCTGCCCGCACTGGTCGGTCCCCGCCATGTCCAAGTTGGCGAGCTCGGATCTCCCCCCCACCTGATTGGACGACGCCCGCCGTAACTAGCCCCACCACAAAGTGCGCGCGACCACAAAGTGCGCGCGCGGCCTCACCAAAACTACCTTAAAAACGAGGCTATAGAGCCACACCAAATAGATATTATCACGATATATTTGAGATTAATAGGCTTTAATATATATATACAGCCTATAGAAAATAAGACAGAGTTCTAATCGCGCGGCCGACGACGCGAGGTT